ATATACCATGGAATATTACTCAGCATTCAAAAAAGATAAACACATGCAATTTGCAGCAACATGGATGGCGCTGGAAGGGATCATGCTCAGCGAAATAAGCCAGAAAGAAAAAGAAAAATACCGGATGGTCTCACTCATAGCAGGAATCTAGAAAACTTAAATAAGGGACCAGGAAAATGAATAACTATAAGAAAGTGAAAATCAAAATCAACAAAAAACTATGAACCAGAGACACTTTTAGGGGGGCAGGGGCGGGAGGGGAGGGATTGGGGTAAGAATGGGGTGGGGGCTGCAATTGTATGGGGAATATAAAAATAAAATTTGTTATTTAAAAAAAAAAAAGAATTTCACAGAGAGTAACAATGTCAGTATTCATATAGAGAAAAGTTATGAAACAGTGGAACAGGTATCCAGCAAACACTAGTGTTTCTCGATTGATATTTTAAATAAATTGTACCAGAAACCATTGTGAAAGGTACATTAGTAGCAGAAAGTTTTTTTGATAGTCAATCAAAATTTCAGTTCCCTTAAATGAAAATCTTAACAACCTGACATTTAGAAAAGAAACACATTTTTTACAAGTTTCAAAAGAGGTTTTTCTTTTAATTGCACATTTTCTGCTGTAGCTAATAACCAATTGCTTTTACTTTCTTTTTTATGTTTTAAGTTACTCAACAGTTTATCCTTCATTTAGATTCTTACATCTCCTCCCATTTCACTAATTCTCTTATTTGCATTTATCCTACCTTTGATAACTGCTTTTAGCCCTGTAATTTTCATGTTAATATTTGACTACTGACAGCTTTTATTTTCTGGTCCAGTGTATAATACAAATTTTATTTCATTTAATATCCATAATTTTCTTCTCTTGCTTCAACACACATGTCACATAACAGTTGCAGTTAGAAATATGGGTGTCCTTTCTGCTTCCTGGATAACCATGTTTCTTATTCTGTGTCTGTACATTCTGTACATACTAACTGTAACTTTATTCTGTGTACTTTGGGGAATGTAATAATGGGACTACATTAAATCACATTGCTTTTTCTAATATATCTTTTCTAGTTGTGAAATATGGAGTTTAAAAATTATTAGATATTTGGGCCTCCCAGGTGGCACAGCAGTTGAGCGCTAGGTTGCGAAGCTGCCCGCAGCCTCTGCAGCACTGGTTCGATCCCTGGCTGTTCCCTGGCCACCAGGAGAAGGGTCCCACATGGCGCGCAGACCTCTCCTGCCGCCCACTGCTCCCCTCAGCAGTGTATTTCGGTCCTTCTGCCTGCTCTGCTCCCAGCTCTGGCTCTGGTGAATTCTCTCACCCTCCCGCACTTCTGACTGTACCCAGTGCTTGAATGAATGAATGAATGAATAAATAAATAAATAAATAAATAAATCTTAAAAAAATATATTAGATATTTATTGACTATATCGATCACACTGATTTTTTTTTTTAGATTCATTTATTTATTTATACAGCACTGGGTACAGTCAGAAGCACGGGAGGGTGAGAAAATTCACCAGAGCCAGAGCAGGGAGCAGAACAGACAGACTGAGGAAATACGCTGCTGAGGGGAGCAGCGGGAGGCAGGAAAGGTCTGCACACCATGTGGGACCCTCACCCAGTGGCCGAGGATCGAACCGGCACTACAGAGGCTGCAAGCAGCTTCGTAACCCAGCGCTCAACCGCGGCGCCACCGGGGAGGCCCCATACTGATTTCTAATACAGAAATATAATTGTAAGTAATTTGCTTTGAAGAAAAAAATGAAATCATATAGACAAATCACTAATAAATTCTAATAACATATTATGTTTCTAATAAGGACTATTGCCATAGTCCTTTTCAACTACTAGTTTACATGAATTATATATTGAAGGCATCTTAAATTCTTAGAAGAGGTAGGTCTCATGTAATGATTATTGTTGTTGTTATAAGTATATATATATAGATAATATTTATTTAGCTCTGAATATGTATTAAGTATTATGCTAAGTAATTTGCATAAATGGTCTCATTTGATTATCATAACAAATAATATAGGTACAAAATCAGGACTAGAACACAGCCCTATTTGACTCAACAGCCACATAGATGACCAGTCCTATGCCTCCAATAATGAGTATCCAACATCCCCCCAAATCACTTAAAATTTTTGAAATATTTTATTTATAGCAACATTCTTATTCTGATATAATTTCCTTTACATCCTGAAACTGAAAAGCAATATTAATATAAGTAATTGTATTAAATATACATAATCTTTTAAAAATATTAATACTTTATATTAATGCATTTATCACCATGTAGTTATTGAATTTCTGTCTAGAATTTACCAATTATTTCTCAAGCTTTTCAAAGGAATAAATATCAAACAAATTTTTAAAAATTAATTTATCAGTCATCTACATATCTATATAATTTTGGAGGTACATTTTCATACTATATAACTTTGGGGGTACATTTTCATACCCCCATATGTTCACATGCTCCTCTCACCCTCCATCAAACTTCATGTGCTATCCCCCTCTTCCCCCTCTCCTCTTCTCCCTCCTCCCTGTTCCCTCTGGTAATTAGTATATTTTTCAGAGCCTAAGAATTATTTCTGCTCTGCTTTGCTTTGCAGGTATGTGTTTTGTCATTTATATTTCACAAAAAGTGAAACCATCCAGTATCTGTCCTTCATATTTTGACTTATTTGACTTTTCATAATCACCTCAAGATCTATACATTTTGTCCCCAAAGGCATTATTTCTTTTTTAAAGTAGTATTTCACAGTTTCTTTATATAGTCACCTCTCATTGGCACTTAGGTTGGCATCATGACTTGGCTGTTGTGGATAATGCTTCTATGAACATAGGAGTGCATAAATCTTTTCAGACTTAGAGTCTTCATATGTGTTGGGTAAATACCTAGCAGTGGTACTGTTGGATCATTTGGTATTTCTATTTTTTAAAGAAATCTCCATGCCACTTACCATAGAGGCAGCACCTGTCCTTTGTCTCTGGAATTCTAATTCTCCTTCTACATTTCCATCTTGTGTTCAGATTTTTCTTACTTTCTAGGCATGTGTGTTGTCTCATTTGCATTTTCACAGCTGGAGCATTATGAGCTTGGTTTTGTTTGTTTCTCTGTGTCTACCTTGGGGCCTGGTGGGATGAGAGTAATGAGAAACTGAGGCTCAAATAGTCTCAGTCCTGTCAAAGAGTGAGGACAGCTCTGTGCTGGTAAATCACTTCTGCCTTCTCAACTCTTTCTCCAAATCAGGCTCAGTACAATGCTTCAGGGATCCTATATTCCCACCCAGACTCCATGCTGTTCTTCTCTGTGATGTGAGGCATCTTGCATTAAACTTGAGTCACTTGGCAAGGGGCACCAGGAATCATAGATAGAGCACAAGCAGTCAGATACAGACTGCCTTTTGCTACCCAGCAAAGGCCACCAGGCATGGATTAAATGTCCCAAATTGCCCAGTAATGGTCACTGATGCCAGCTGAGAGGCCCAAACTGACAGGCACCATGAATCATTCACTTGGATCATTTTGCAGGGAATAAAGAAAGATTTCTCCAACCTACACTACCCTTCCACCCAGCTCTGCACTACTGAGCCTGGAGTAGGTGTGCATGACACTGACACCAAGTTTCCCTTTATTTCTACCTTCTGATGGGAGGGTAGGGAGCTTTACTTGCCCACTCCACTAGCTGCCAAAACCCCAAATCTGAACCTACCAACCACATGTATGCATGTTGTCTGTACCACTCCCTCACTGAAAAGTTCCTCTAACAATATTCGCTGTGCCCAGAGGGCCAGTGACCATTCCCAGCCTGTTCAGCTGCCAGGCTGCAAGCTCCTATACCTCTTCACTCACCATCCCTGCAGCAAGCAACCAAACTTCCTGAAAATCCTCAGTATCTATTGATGACCCTTTGTATCTTCCTTTGAACTAATTTTGTTCTAGTTTTATTTTCTTTTTACTTGTATTTGTGGGGAGAAAATGATCCAAACCTTTCTATTTCACTGTGTTGCAGATAGAATCCTTCCAAATCAGTTTTTATAAGGTCTAGTTTACAAAGTAAACAGAATAGATACAGATCAGTGAGTCTAAGTTGTAACATTCATCAGTGGGAGGAACCATAAAACATCAAATTATTAAATTCAATGCAAAGATCAGTCTGTAAGATGTGAACATATATACATGCATGTTTTACTTCAAAAAATGTCATTTTTGCAATGCACTCAATACTTTTTCAGTTACTGAAAATTATTGATCCTGATAATGTAGTTGACTCCATAATGTGTCACCCTATGTGTCCTGTGTGTCACCCTGTGACTCCATAATATGTCACCCTATTATTTCAGGTTTTCAAAAAATTATTTTTCTAAATATATAAGTTAGGAAATTTCAGACACTATCTAAAAAATGAAATCTATCAGTGACTACACCTGTATTTTATATGATTCATATTCTTTATAAAAAGATTCATAAAATTGGTTGTGAAAATTTTCTCAAATTTCAAAATCTGAGGTAATTATACTAGTTTACACTTCTCAGACATTTACTTCATTCAATAATGTTAAATTTAAGTGTCTCTCTGACACATTGATGAGTCTATAAAAACATAAAAATTGCATTCTCTCTTCTGTTTTAATAATTTTTATTAATAGATGGCATTTATTTACATAGATAAATTTTAATTAAATTTTCACTCAAAGTTCTACACTATTGTAATTAGCTCTATTATTTGTAGAACTATTTCATATTAACTCACTTTCAGGATGCTTGATTAAAGCATTTAGATTATCTCTGGCATCTTTAAAAATTATAAGTGAAGGTTATTACTTTTAATAAATTCTTTGTAACTTTAAATTATTTTAGCTATTATTCTGAAGTTCCAGAAGTTACCTAGAAATTTTTTAACAATTTAAAAACAAATTTTTTAAACTTTTTAGTGAAATTTTAAAAGAAAATAATTCAAATTTTATAAAGAATATTTTTTGTATTGCAGGTATTGAAGCAGAAAAACAGGGTAAAAAGCAAAAAGAAAGAAATGTCACCACACAGGTGAATATTTTACTAAATCATTGTATTTCTCCTAATAAAAAATTTAGGCTATGTATATTATTAGCTATTTTTATTAAGCATGCTTAGAATTTCTTAAACTAGTAAATATTGACTGTTATTCCTATTCTTATTTTTAATCACAATCCATATTTTTTGTTCATTCAACAAATGTTTATTGAGTTACTGTGAGAAGTTAAGACTGTTATTAACCTTGAGTCTTCTTATAAGCCATAGCCTGTCTAAGGCCCTAAATATTAAGACAAAAAAGGATAGTGACGAATTTGGATTATAGAGTCACAGATGCTTTTTAAATTTCACTAACCTTATAACACCTTCTGATATTTTAGAAGTAAAGGGTTTAACATTTTCAGTACTTGTAGTTTTGTAAACACAAGTTATTTCTTTTACTTAAAACCCTATAGTGGCTTCCCATCCTGTGCACGAAAACCAGTGTCTTGCCTATTAGGCGTCATAGTTTGGGCCCACTGTTAATTCTCTGACACCACTGACCCTTACTTATACTGTTCCAGACACACTGGACCCTGTGCTTGTCCTCATAAACTGCAGACATGAATCCATCTTTCTGTTCTTTCTGCAGGTATTTGTGAGGCTCCATTCCCTAACCTTCTTTGCTCAAGTGTCATTTCTTGGCGCTTCCTTCTCTCACCATTATCACTTTATCTAAAATTGCAAACCCTATCACAACACTTTCTATCTCCCTTCCATGCTATATTTTTCTTCTCATAATGAACATGCAACATACCGTATTTTGTTTTGTTTGTTGTCATTCTATCTCCTCTAGAATATAAACTCCGTGATCTGTGTTGTTCATTGCTTTTATCCTGGCAACTGTTACAGTGTCTGGCACTTAGCAATAAATGTTCACTGAATTAATGAATAAATCTTAAATATAGATTAAAGGGTGAAAGCCCACTTCTCAGAGTCCTCAAACAAATATACAAACAACCAAAATACTGTAATTGGATAACAACACTATCATTCTTTTGGCTGCAATTTAGGAGTTAACAACCATGTTCACAGATCTTAGTTGTAGATTCATGTTATTTTATCTTCCACTCTTAAGATAGGGGAGGACTGGGATAGGAATTACAATCACACCAGTAAGAGTGAAATACCTGGGAATAAACTTAACAAAGAAGGTAAAAGTCCTATATATTGGAAAGCATAAAACTGTATTACAGGAAATTACAGAGGATACAAATAAATTAAAAGATATTCCATAGTCATGAACTGCAAGAATTAACATTATTAAAATGGGGATTTTACCTAAAACAATTTACAGATTAAATGCAATACCTATCAAAATACCAATGGCATTTTTCAAGTAAATAGGAAAAAACAATTATAAACTATATGTGGAAGCAGAAAGGCTCTGAATAACTAAAACAATCCTGAGAGAAAAGAAGAAAAATAGAGGAATCATACATCCTGACTTCAAGCTATATTACAAAGTAACAGTAATCAAACAGTATGGTGCTGAAACAGAAACAAAAACTCAAACCAATGGAATAGAATAGAAAGCCCAGACAAAAACCCGCACAAATATGGACAGTTAATCTTTGACAGAGGAGCTACAGACCATACAATGGACAGAAGATAGCCATTTTAATATATGGTGTTGGGAAACATGCATGGATAGCCACATGCAAAAAAATGAAACAAGATCCATACTTAACATCATACACAAAAATTAATTCAAAATGGATTAAAGATCTTGATATAAGAACTAAAACCCTAAATTACTTGAAAGAAAACATAGGGGACACACTATAAGACATCTACCACAAAGATATATTTGGGGATGCAACCCCAATGGCAATAGAAACTAAAGCAAAAATAAATAAGTTGGACTGCATCAAACTAAAAAAATTTTGTTCCTTCCCACCAGTAGCAGGGGAGGGGCAGGGGAAGGGATTAAAACAGGGGAGGGAAAAGCACAAGGGACTATAGTGATGGTACAGGGGTAAATTGGTGCTGGGAATTTTTCAGGGACTACATCTGAGAGAAGAAAGCATACATTGTACAAAAATGAACAATGATGTAAAATATAAATAAATAAATAAAGCTTTTGTTCCACAAAAGAATCTCTCTCTCTCTCTCTCTCTTTCTCTCTCTCTCTCTCTCTCTCTCTCTCTCTCTCACACACACACACACACACACACACACAAAAGCAACCTACAGAATGGGAAAAAATGTTTGCATACCACGCATCTGACAAGGGGCTAAACTCCAAAATTTTAAGTTTTTATACAATCCAACAACAACAAAAAACCTAATGAAAAAATGGGCAAAGGACCTAAATAGACACTTTTCTAAAGAAGACATTCAGACGGCATATAGACATATGAAAAATTGTTCAACATCACTTATTATAAAGGAAATTCAAATCAAAACAACAATGAGATACCACCTAACTCCTGTGAGAAATGGGCCATGTTAAAAAGAATAAAATCAACAAATGTTGCTGAAGTTGTGGTGAAAAAGAAACTCTAATCTACTGTTGGTATGAATGTAAGTTGGTGCAGCCCCTGTGGAAAATAGTATGGAGATTTCTTAACAAAATAAAAATGGAAATTCTGTAAAATCCAGCAATCTTTTAGGTATTTATCCAAATTATATGAAAATTCTAATATGAAAAGATTTATCTATTCCTATATACATAGTAACACTGTCCACAATTGCCAACTCATGGAACCAACTTAAGTGTCCTTCCACAGATGACTGGATAAAGAAATTGGAATACATACTCAATGGAACACTAAACAATTGTGGGCCGGGGGCAGGAGGGGATGAAATAGTGGCATATGGGACAAAGTGGATGGAGCTCAACATGATTAGGTTAAGTTAAATAAGTCCCAAAGTGAAAAATATCAGCTGTTTCTATTCATCTGTGGAATATAAATAACATAAAAAACATACACAGGCAAAATGCAGTAGGATTAAATCTTGAACTCAGTAAAAGCTTATAATGTTTACCAGAGGGAACCAGAGATGGAGGGTGGGATGCAGATGGAGTACTGGGATAGGTGGTTTTGTGGAGATGGGTGGAACATGGGAAAGCATATTAAAAAATTGTACCAGTGGAATAGCTGGAACATATGGCAGATCCATTTCTAGTGAAACCTCTACACATAAAGCTGTTTTTTAAATTCCTTACATGGCTCCATGTCCTAGCTTACTTTATCCTCTGTGTCACTGCTTTCATGTATTTGCTAACATATAAGGCACTAAGCATTCCAGAAAGTGATCTTGGAGAAGGGAAATTTAAATTGTGATACTAAAAAAAAAGAAAGGCAAGCCAATAAAAATCTAGGATGTAGTAATTAACAGAATTTTTTTTAAATCTTCCAATATAATTTTCCCTGAAAAAGTATTTATGTAAATTGTGACTCTGAATCTCCATAAAGTTTTTAAACTTTCTCTCTTAAAATCTGCATTATTTTCTACTACTCAAAAACAATGCCCTGTAAGCCCTCTGCCTGATTAAAGTAGATTAATGATATGACTTCAGGAGAGTATGTTGGAAAACATATTTTACATTTTCCTCCTATCTGGTCATAAGATTTTTCTGTACTTTCTACCCATTATAAGTTAGTTGTAATGTGCAAGGCAATACTAACACCTTTATTTTTTTTAGTTCACACAATTGATATTACCATGACAACTTACCAGTAGAAGAGCAAAATTGGTTAAATTCTCCTGCTATTTTTATAACATTTAGGTTTTAACACTTGGCTGCACAGTTCAGATTACATGCAATGGGTTTAAAAGGTTTTTACTTATGAAAAATATAAATTCTTAAATTGAAGTAAATCATCATTTTGATTCAAAAAATGTAGGAACTATGTTGATCATATTAAGCTGTATTTTTGCCATGAACAGACAAGTTTTTCACTTTGCCATTGTTTCATTAAGAAAGTACACATAGAAAGTGAGTAAAAATATTTTTCTTTGTAGGTACCAGTGAACGAATTGAAACAATTTTTATCGCAAGTATTGGAACGAAGGACATTGAATAAAGTAATCAATAAAAGAGAAAATCTGTTAGAAAAAAGGAATCAACATAAATTAAGAATAAAAGGAATTCAAAATAAAGATGTCTCAAAAAGAAATAAAAATCATTGTAAGTAGAATTCCCTCTTGCAAGTAAATTAAAATCACATTTTAGAGTTTATTTCTAGGTTATAATCATAAATATTTACAACACAAAAGACTTAAACTTTGTCAGCTTTCTGCCCCCCATCTTAGATTCAGAATTTATATTGTGATAATGAGCATGGTTGATGATTAGAATGCCTATATTTAAAATCTCAAAAATTATGTGAATAAAACATTTATCACCTATTCTAATAGAAACACTTATACTTTTTTTTACCTTTCTATTTTTTTATTTTTTTAATTTAAATTTTATTTTTATATTCCCCATACAATTACAACCCCCTTTTTTCTACCCCAAGCCCTCCTTTCCCCATCCCCCACCCCCCATAGAGTGTCTCTTGTTCATAGTTATTTGTTGATTTTGATATTTTCTTTCTTATAGTTATTCTTTTTCCTTGTTCCTTATTTAAGTTTTCTAGATTCCTGCTATGAGTGAGACCATCCAGTATTTTTCTTTTTCTTTCTGGCTTATTTCGCTGAGCATGATCCCTTCCAGCGCCATCCATGTTGCTGCAAATTGCATGTGTTTATCTTTTTTGAATGCTGAGTAATATTCCATGGTGTATATGTACCACATCTTCTTGATCCAGTCATCTATTTTTGGGCATTTGGGTTGTTTCCAAAGCTTAGCTATTGTAAATAGTGCTGCTATAAACATAGGCGTGCAGGTGCTCTTTGGAATTGATGTTTCTGTGTCCTTTGGGTAAATACCTAGGAGTGGAATTGCTGGATTATATGGAAGCTCTATGTTTAGTAGGTCAAGAAATCTCCACACAGCTCTCCATAGTAGTTGGACCAGTTTGCACTCCCACCAACAATGCAGGAGAGTTCCTTTTTCTCCACATCCTCGCCAACATTTGTTGTTGCAAGTTTTTTTAATATGTGCCATTCTCACTGGTGTGAGATGGTATCTCATGGTAGTTTTGATTTGCATTTCCCTGATTACAAGTGATGTTGAACATTTTTTCATATGCCTGTTGGCCATTTGCATTTCCTCTTCAGAGAAATTTCTTTTTAGCTTTTCTGCCCATTTTTTGACAGGATTTTTGTTTGTTTGTTTTTGTTGAGTCTCATCAGCTCTTTGCAGATTTTTGTGATCAGTCCTTTATCATTAGTGTTGGGTGCAAAAATGTTCTCCCAGTTGGTGGGGTTTCTCTTTGTTTTTGTTATTGTCTCTTTTGCTGTGAAGAAGCTCTTTAATTTGATGTAGTCCCAGCTGTTGATCATTGCCTTCACTATCACTGCTTTGGGTGATGTGTCTGTAAAGATGTCTTTGATGTGGATATCATGTAGTGTTTTGCCTATATTTCTTTCTATGTATTTTATGGTTTCAGGTCTTATGTCTAGTTCTTTAATCCATTTTGAGTTGGTTTTTGTGCATGGTGTGAGGTAGTAGTCAAGCTTCATTCTTTTGCATGTAGCGACCCAGTTTTCCCAGCACCATTTATTGAACAAACTTTCTTTGCTTCAATGCATATTCTTTGCTCCTTTGTCAAAGATTAGTTGATCATAAATCTGTGGGAAACCCTTATACTTTTAAAAGAAATTGGAATTAATGTTGTGTCCTCCCTATTCTAGTCTAGCAATCTAAAACTCTCCTTTGTAATATCATGCCTAACTAGCTGATACATTTCTCTGGATGGTAGAAGTGTCTAGACGCAATAAACAATGTCTCCATAGATTCTCTGTGCAGGATTTAACTAGTGATCAACTATAAAATGTTAGAATAATTTTCAACACATTTCAATCGGATGCTTTAAAGCTTTTTCTTTTCTAAAAGACATATATGAATTTCCAATTTAATAACATTTAAGAAAGGGAAACTTCTTTGGCAGAGTTAAGAATATCAGTTTTTTTAATAACATCATAAATATATATATTAAAGTCTAAACCACATACCTAGAAACAATTAACCATTTTTTAATTTTAACAAAAGTTTTTAGTTTTATATTTTTCCCTACCACCATCTCTTATAAACCTGATACTTTCTCCCTCTCCCTTCTCTCTTACCCTCAGAAACCTCACTTTGTTTAATTAGCATCCCCTAGTTACTTTGTTTTGTCAAATTGTCCACTATATAAATGTCCAATATTTGTCTTTGTCATTCTGACTTGCTTTACTACACATAATTCCCTCAAACTGCTATCATTTTGCTATAAATGGCAACATTTCATCCCTATCAGCCCTAAGTATAAATTGATAGCCATAGTATCAGTAAACCTTTTATTTTTTTAACATGGAAACATGATGTGCATTTTATTTAGCATAGGTCTTCTGATTGGCATTTTTAGAATAAACCGCACTCAATCAGCATCACCTATGATTTTTCATCTCACATTTTTATTTAAATGAGAAATAAACACATTTATGGAGCAGTTTGCTAACAGAATCCTTCTGGATATTTAAAGGCTTTTCCCCCAGTTGTATATAGATGTTTCACCTATAATTAAATGAATAATTTTAGTCACTCTCTTATATCAAACTTTTTCATAGTACTTCAATTACTTTACATAGAAACACATGTTCTCTTTGCACTTATCTTTAATCAGTTTACACGTTGTTCAGTTAAGTACTATAATTATAATAACAGTACAACTGGTATAAACAGATGTGGGGAGAAGCACTCCTGATTTTTGTAAACATACAAAGGATGGGAATAAATGTGCACATGTGTACTAAAGAGAAGCCCGCTAGCTGCAAGCATTTGGCATGTTGTAGACATTAGGAAATCGGATGGAATCAATGGAAAGCATTGATTAATTTGGCCAATAAGGTAGGTAGAGGTTGTTTAAGAAAGAGCTTCTGCTGTTTAAAATGGTAAGTGGTAAAATGGTAAATCTTCAAATAAGATCCCTCTCCCTTATATTATGCCTTGTAATAATAATAAGTTAATTGAGCTTTTCCCATATTATTTTAACTGCTTTATTCAATTTAAGATAGTTTACAATTTAAAATAGGTTATAAGATGTGAAAACTGCAACACAGTTTTCATCTATGAAGTAATTTGTTTAACATTACAAAACTACTATTTAGTAAGGAATCTTGAATTTGAACTTAGATGGTCCATTACAAAAACCTCTAGTTATTAGCCATGAGACCTCTCACAAAAGTAAGCTGACAATATTAAGAATCTTCATCCCATGATTCTCTAATAATCTTGGACAAATATAGAACAATGTGATAAAAATTTTACAACTTCCTGTGCACCCAATTTACTAAAGATTTTAAGGGAATATAAGTAGTTATAAATAACTCAAAACATTTTTGCTTCATATTAACAGCTATAACATGTGCCATAGATTTCAAAATCCACAATTGAATTAACCAAATCTAAGACTTCAAAGACATGTCTACTTGTATTCTAGAACTCTAGGGAGTATAACTGAACTGACCTATGGGTTAGTGTACCAGGGCACACTAATCTACCTATGAAAAACACTCTAAAGACATTTGAGAAGTCCTGTCTTATTATAGTCACAATATGCATTCATAAAGATTTATATAAATTAGAAAATGTGTCCTTTTGACTAAAGTCAATATAGAAAAGTGATTACGGCTACTAAAAGCAATACATAGCAATTGAGAACCAAAGGATTCCAGGGAAGAGATGAGATGTAAGACTGGAAGGGCTCATTGATCTTGGCTTCTGCATGTTTTATATTAGTCTTGCTATGACAATGATTTTTTTTAACATTTATTTATTTATTTATTTATTTATTTGTTTATTTATTTATTCAAGCACTGGGTACAGTCAGAAGTGAGGGAGGGTGAGAGAATTCACCAGAGCCTGAGTGGAGAACAGAACAGGCAGACTGAGGGGATGGGAGCAGCAGGTGGCAGGAGAGATCTGCGCCCCATGTGGGATCCTCACCCAGAGGCCAGGGATCAAACTGGTGCTGCAGAGGCTGCGGGCAGCTTTGCAACCTAGCGCTCAACCACTGCGCCACCAGGGAGGCCCTGACAATGATTTTTAAATCTTAATTTTTTTTTAATGATTTATTTATACATTCAAGAGCTGGGGGGTAGAGGCCAGAGGTGTAGGGGGATGAAAGGATTCACCAGAGACAGAGTGGGGAACAGAACAGGTGGATTGACCAAGGTACACTGCTGAGGGGAGCAGCGGGTGAGCCAGAGAAGTCTGCTGCGCCATGTGGGTTGCTCCCTGGCTGGCCGGGGATCAAACTCGTGCTGCAGAGGGTGCAGATTGCTTCATAGTGCTATGCTTAACCCCTTGCGCCACCAGGGAGGCCCCTAAATCTTAACATTTTAAGGGAATTTATCCAAAAAAAACCGGTTCACTGCTCACTAGGTATGAAATAAAAATGTTGAAATGCATGTTACTTGAAGTATCAGGTAAGATTTTGATAGGAAATAAATGGCATGCTTAAACTGAGTCATTTGGAAAAAAGTTTACTTAAGGGAATATTTCTAAAAGTGTAGATAAAATGTGGGGAAACCACAAAGTACTTCCCAAGATAGTAACATAAAGACATTACCCCCTACATCCTCATTCTGAAGGGTCACAGAGCAGTGTGGTTACAAGGATCACATGCTGCTAGTGTGAAAGCAAGCAAAATCAAGAATTACATGTAGAGGGTTCTCTGACAGATCTGTGACCTTTGATCAAGGGGAAAAGCTGGCATGAAACTAGATTGAGGAAGCAAGGAAATAAATATTCCTACCTGAGTCTCTTCCTGCTCTTCATACTTCCTGCAGGTACCTTTTAGCCAAACCTAACCAGAAATTTCAGGGGAAGGAAGTCCAATAATACAGTGCATATGAGTTAGTGTCCCAGGTCATAGAAAAATATGGGTAGATCTAGAGAGGAAAACATCCAACACACTGGGTTTTCCGGATGGAAAACTAGAGGACATGAACTAAAAGAATGAAGAACTTTCTGTGGCATGCAATAAAACCATAGTTATTAAAAGTAAAGTTATAGAATCTTAGAATTAATTAGAGAAA